CTCTTCCTCTTGAATTTTTCCCCTAACCAGTATATAGTGGCCTTCTTTATTTTGCTTGATCATTGTTGGTTTGAAGTTGAGACTGTCTGAGAATAGGATTTCTACTCCTGCTTTTTTCTGAGGTGCTAGGGCATGTAGTATTGTGTTCCATCTTTTGACTTTCAGCCTATGAATGTCTTTATGAGTTAAATGTGTTTCTTGTATACAGCATATTGTTGGATTTTGTTTCCTAATCCACTGTGCCAGTCTATTTCTCTTAATTGGTGAACTGAGTCCATTTACATTGATGGTTAGAAATGATATGTATTGACTTACAATTGACATGTTACTTACCTGTTGTCGTTTACTCTTTTTTCTCCCATTTTTAACTGCTTGCCCTACTTAGTTGGTTGCTTCTGATCTCATTCGTGGAGCTCTGATCATTTTGGTCCCTCTCTAGAACATCTTTCAGTAGCCTGTGTAGGGTTGGCTTTGTCATCATGAAATTCTCTAGCTGTTCTTTTTCATGAAAGTATTTCACTTCTCCATCAAACTTGAAGGAGAGTTTTGCAGGGTATTGTAGTCTGGGCTGGAATTTGTTTTCATAGAGGACTTGAAGTACTCTACTCCATGTTCTTCTTACCTTCTCGGTTTGTGAAGAGAAGTGGGCTATAATTGTGATGGGTTTTCCTTTTAATGTGATCTGCTTCTTTTCTCTAGTGGTTTCCAGTATATTATTCTTGTGCTGAATTTCTGGGATCTTGACTATGATATGTCTCGGTGTGTTTTTCATTTGGTAGAGGCTACTTGGTGTTCTGTATGCTTCGGTTACCTGAATGTCAGATGGTTTCCTCATATTTGGGAAGTTTTCTGCTATTACTTCTGCCCATATTTTTTTAATGTCATTGGTTGATTCCTTTCTCATTGATGCCTATTAGTCTCACATTGTTCATCTTTGCATCATCTTGCAGCTGATGGATTATTCTTTTCTGCATCGTCGTTGTTTTTAAGAAATCCTTTCTTACCTTTTCACTAGCTACACCAGCATCTTCAAGATCTGAAACTCTGTCTTCACTTTCACTTAAACGGTTTTGCAAGCTTGTGATTGAGATTTTAATTTCCTCTCTATCTCTTTGCCTCTGCCTCATGCGATCTATTTCTTTCCTGTAATGCTCATTCAAAGAATCCGTCATTTTTCTAATCTCCTCTATTTTTTTTATCAATGTCTTCTTTAGAAGCAGTTATAAGTTCTTTTACTGCAGTGTTTTTTTCAGATTGGGTTTCCTCCCTATGTTTCTGTAGTTGCTTCTTTACTTCAGATGCTATGAGTTCTGAGAATTATTTTTTTATTTCAGAAAAGAATTGCACTCTGAGTTCCTCTATAACTTTCTGCTGTTGCTTATTTACTATCGATGCTATTAATTCGTACATTTGAGCTGAGCTAGTAGAAAAGAATTCTGCTCTGACTTCCTCTATGACTTTCTGCTGTTGCTTATTTACTATCAATGCTATTAATTCATCCATTTGAGCCGAGCTAGTGTCCTCTGCACTTGTTCTGGGTGGGCATTGGGTTTCCTCCATATGTTTCTGCATTTGATTCTTTACTGCAGATGTTATTAATTCAGGGATTTCTTTTTTCATTTCCAATCT